GGACTTCTGGCAGTTAGATAAAGACCAGAATTCTTCAGGAACTTGTGAAATAGGTCACTATAAAGGAGTGATTTCTCTTACCTCTGGCAGGAAGGAGTATGGCTCTTCATTGACATGAACCTATGGTAGCATATCAAGTCCCATGTTGGCCCTTAGGCTCCTACAGTTCCTATTCACAAGTACCTGGCACACATTTCAAGGCCCCTACACCAGCATCCTGGCCCTTCTCACCTCTCCAGGCTTCCCTGCTCTTAGGTACCCATTTTTTCTGTATGTAAATGTACCCCCATCTCCTGCTGTCTCTCTTTCTCTCTCTTGCTTCCCTAGTCCTGGTCATGTCCCCAGTTTACTTCTTTTTCTCTATACTCTGGACTCCTTCAGATGACTCTGGGTAATTTCTCTTTCTTATAATAAATACAGTAATTTTCTACAAGAAAATCCTTTCCCCTAATGGCATGGCCATTTCAGCAGTTTCTTTACTGAGCCCCCATGGATGCAGTAACTATTAATATACTCCCAATTTCCATGAAGTAAGCTTTTTAGGTTCTCCATGTAAATGAGACACAGGAACTTGACATTTAACTCTATGGCAAAGCATGTGTTTACCATGTAATAAGTGCTCGTTTAGTTCATCATAAAATGAATAGAAAAAAAAAGCTAAATAACAGGAGTATACGTACCAGAAATGATCTGGCTTATTTCACTTAATACACTGATCTAATGCCACCATGTTCTACCAAATAGTAAGATGCTGTGTGTTGTTTTTGCTCTTTGGGTTTTTTGAGGGCCCACTACCCAGCTCCCAAATAAATCATACATGGTCTTATTCCTTAGTTATAAATACCTGCCCTTAGCTTGGTTTGTTGATAGTCAGCTTTTTATTTAAGACAGGGTTTCTCTGTGCAGTTTTGGAGCCTGTCCTGGCACTAGCTCTATAGATCAGGCTGACTTCAGAGAGATCTACCTGCCTCTGCTTCCTGAGTTCTGGGAGTCTGAGGCCAGCCTGATCTACAGATGGAGTTCCAGGACAGTCTCCAAAACAATACAGAGAAACCCTTTCTCGAAAAACCAAAAAAAAAAGTCCCTAATCCCAGCTTTAGGAGATTTGACACTCTTCTAATTTAAAAGGGCAATTGCATTCATATGAATTCACCACCACCCAACGCCCATCCCATACACACATTCCTTCCAATGTCTTCCTACTGAAAATTTTACAGGAAGTAGAACTTTTTTACAACTCTACTGTTCAGACATTGTAGTGATGTGCTGAACACTCAGCCTTATCTATTCCACTCTTCATCCCACCCATGCCAACAAACCCCAATTTTATCACGAGGAGATCCTAAATCATACTATGCTTTATGCATGCATGTAGTGTTCCTTACGCCTAACTATATATTCCCTATACTTGATTGGTTTTGACTCAATCTGTTCAATCCTTTGATAGAAAATCCCTTGCTGTGCATGGGGGCTCATGCCTATAATCCCTACACTTGAGAGGCAGGAGGATTGCCAAAAGTGCAAACCTAGCTTGGTCTGAATGAGTACTAAACTAGTCAGGTCTACATAGTGAAGCCCTCTTCCAAATCGATCAATCAACAAAAAGTTTCTAATTTCCATAAGTTTGATTTTCTTTTTTTCCTTTTAAATACAGGATTTTTGTGTATAGCCTCGGCTGACCTTTAAGTTTCAGAGATCCACCTGCCTCTGCTTGTTAGATTAAAAACTGTTTTTTGTTTTTGTTTTTCTGTATTGCTTTGAGCTTGTCCTGTAACTAGTTCTGTAGACCAGGCTGGTTTCGAACTCAGAGATCTGACTGCCTCAGCCTCCTGAGTGCTGGGATTAAAGGCATGCTCAACCACAGCCTGGCTTTTCTTTGATCTTATATCACTGCTAATATAGGGAATTAAGAAATTGTGTATCTTTGGGCTCCTCATGTGCGACCCCCGACCCGCGGGGATGAGGTGATGAGGGTCGCTACTAATTTGGTGGGCCTTCATGAGCAGATCCGATCTTAAAAGTAAACTTCAAGAGGTTAAGGGAAGCAGGCTCAAGACAACTTTTGCTGATCAAGAGCGTTTATTTTTGGGGCGAGCTGGAACTTATAGAGGAAGAACCTCAGGGGGTGGTACAAGCATGTCAATCAAGTCTCAACTCAAATATACACCAAATACGGTAAAGACAAAGCTATAATTTTCCATCAGTCATCAGTCGCATTCCACAAATGCTTGCCAGCTTAAGTCAGGTGCTGGAATTAGGGAGGGGTAGGAAGTATTCAAAGGCACTTTAACCTTTTGTTAACAAAGACAATTGCTCTGTAAAGGTTACTTCCCCCTGGCTAGGCGGGTGGGCTGCCCTGTGTAAATTTTACTTTTATGGTTAGCCTTTTCCTTTGTCTCAAGGGCATGTGTGCTCGCAGTCACGTAGGCAGAAGGCCAAGAAATGGTTGACAGACTCCATTTTGTTCAAGGTTCTAGCAGTCCCCAACACTCATGAACAATAACTTAGATCAACTAACTGAGTTTGTTAGATGACCCATTAGAAGGCAAGGAAATCAACAGAAGGAACTGCATAACGAGGTAAGAGGACTTCAAAACACTGTTTCACAACCCTGCCTTGCACTTAACTGTTTGCCAGTTTGCATGAAAGGGCAAAGGCCTTAAATTTCTTAAGTCCCCGCCCCCTCCCTAACAGGGCTTCTCTGTATAGCCTTGACTGTCCTGCAGCTCCAGGATAGGCTGGCTTTGGAACTCAGAGATCCATCTGCCTTTGTTGAGATTAAAGGCACGTGGCACACCTTTTAAAATAATTTACTGTACAGTACTATTAGTATGACCCTGTTCTGGACTTGAGATCTATCAATTAATGAAACATTTAATAATTTTAAGACCTCAAAAGGTAATGACAATTTATAAAACCTATTAAGAGGAAGATTCAAGCAGAAAGCCAAGAAATAGGGAACCAACAAAAATTCAAATATTGCCCCATTTCAGTTATCCATGACTAATCCTAAAGTGCATTTTTGGGGGTCCCACTGTTGTCCAAACTGGGTTCAAGTGATCTTCCTGAGATGTATTCCTTTTGTACTTTACATGGAAATTCAGTAACTTACTCTTGAGTAGCCTATGAATATCAAGGAAATCAACTAACAGGAAAATTAAAAATATATCAAAAAAGGGAGATACAACAGATAGCCTATAACACAGCAAAGCAGTACCAGGGAACAAAGTTTGTAACAGTCAACATGTATAAGTCACTAAGCTCAATTCCCAGCATTACAACTCCCAGACAAGGTTAACTATATCTTTAGTCCCAGAGACAGATGGATCCCTGAGTTAGATAGCCTGATTCCACAACAGTCAGGACCTGTTGGGCAGAAGGTGGGGAGAACAGGATGGGAGGGAGTGGGAACTGTAATTGGAATGTAAAATGAGAAAATATTTTAAAATTATAAAGATTTTTAAAATGGCAGAGCATCTAGTGAAAGATGTACAAAAAAAATCAGCAATAAAAAAACTTAAAAGACCAAAAACCAAAAAAGCTGAGCTGACTCAAAATAGAAAAGCCACTGGATAGAATCCAGGATTTGATAGCAAAGGTGAGACAATACAGCAGCACGAAACCTCAGGTCATATTGATAGCCTTCTCCTTCCCCAATAAAGGCAGGATTCACTGTATAGAAGGAAAATTGGAAGTCCTCCGGACGAATGGGGGGGGTGGAAGAAAACTAGATTCTGCCCTCATAAAAATTAAGATAACCCACTTAAGTATCAATACCTTGAACTAGTTTTGGTGTTAACACTTTTAGGACACTGGTCTAAGATAGTTTGGATTAGATCCCTCAAAGCACAACCCCAAACTAAAAAGCAAAGCTGACTAGACTGTTTGTCCCAAATATGTACTGTATGCCCTAAATCCCTGAACTTGCAAAGAAGGGGGGTTCAGTGAGCCAACTTGCCCTTTGCTTAAAACACAAAATCCCCAAAACTCTTATTTTCAACCCTTGGCACTTAGGGCAAAGCAAATTGGTCACACTAGGCCATACCTATAACACTAAAGAAGCAGGTGAATCTGAGTTTAAGCTCAAGCCACAAGATGGCAGGAATAGAGGACCTACTTCAAAGACAAAGTGGAGAAACACCAATACATTGTATAATATGCTAATCTCTCAGGGAATCCTTTAATATGCACAATAGTGCTATTTGGTGAGGACATCTGTCAGGACAGTTCACCAACCTTGCAGACTCAATTACTATGTAGTAGTATTAAGGGGCAGTCAGTTTCTGTTGACCCAAGAAAAAGAACTGAATAGTTGTTGCAATTGAACCTTTATTTCAGCATTCACCGTGAGCACTGCTGGACAAGGAAATGTGGATTACAATTACAACATGCCACCCGCCATTTTCAGGATGGCAATTACCAGTTAGACCAGGGACGAAAATGAAGGGAGGTGGCAGTGTCTTAGGATCAAAACACATTGACACTGTCATACATGTGTTAACAAGACAACCATTAGCACGCATCCCTTAAAAAGACACCAGTCTCAATTCCCTGCCCACACCTAATTTTGTACACCAGACTTTGCCATAATCCTAAAGGTTCACTCCAAACCCAGGCTTAATCCAGTCAAAGTTTTAAACCCAATAGGATTAAGAGACTGAGTGCTTCCAACCATTTATTGCATTCAATTCAAACAACTTTCTGTAAGAAGCACACGACCTCATGCTCTATTCATAATAGCCGGCCTGCTTGGCACACGATCCCCAGCACTTGAACGCCAAGACGGATGCGTCTGAGGTCAGCCAGAGCCATGCAAAGACCATCTGCAAACACCTAGCCAGCACTGCATTTTCTTCTTCTGTCTGCCTTTTCTGATGCTCACTACATTCAATTCTCACACCAGTAAAGAAGCCTTGCGTCACTGCCCTAGGAAAAGAAACACGGGAATTACAACACTAGCAATACTAAAACAAAACACAACAACGCCTTTATAACGGCCCATCTCAGAAGCTAGATCCGAAATTTTAGCGTTTCAACAGGAGTTCAGGTTCGGGATGGGATCATCACAGATCAGAGCAAAGACAGTACGTACAACAACGACAAAAGGACTCCACTCACATGCACTCCCAGGAGCTCTAGGGACTGCACTGGCATTCACCGCTGGCAGAAAAAGTACGGTGACATACTACATAATTATTGACTCAAAGCACCTTATATAGCTGAGAATGCTTCCACTCACACGTCTCTCTTTGAGGTAATTCACCATTGTTTAGAACAGATATGCCTTACAATGGTTTAATCAAATTTGTAGCCACTCCAAATAAAAAAGGCAGGCATATGATAAACTGTGCATTAATATATGTCTATAAATGGAGCGGTTGGTCAACATCACTGTTTCTACAGTTATATTTTACAATGTAGACGTTACGTTTTGTGTGCTCGCAAAAGTTAAACTACACACCTTTAAAAACTGTCAGGTCGTAAGCATGTTACGTCCTGTTATGATTTCCCTCGGACGGTTTAGAACTCTCTCCTCTACCTAATAAAAGGGAAAAAAAAAACTTAAGCACCACAGCACCCCCCACTAGTTCAATTAGAAAACAAAGCTGCATCACCCTCACCTGGGCATCTTTCTAACTGCTTTGAAGATCCAGAAAATGATGGCGTCATCGTTCCTATGAAAGGAGTAATGAGTAATCAGTCGCATGAAACTCATAAAACCTTCCTCCCCTTGTCCTTTGGGATCAGAACTCACCCATGCTGGGGTTGAGGAACTAGACCCCGGAGACCATCAGCCAGGCCACCAAGCAGCAATCTCCTTGGGCCTAAGCGACAATTCAGCCTTCTTCCATCGCAAGAGCAAGATATGCATTTCCCCAAATACATTTTCAACCGTACTCTAACCTCCGGGGCTGTCCCACAAAACAGAAGCCTCCCATTTTATCCTGCACCCCTTATTTCGCTTGGTCATTCCTCCACCCCCACCCCCCCCACCCCGCCCTGCCCACTCACTTACAGACAAGCCTCAGCTTCCCGAAAAAGGGAGCCTTGCTGTGCAGCCTGCAGCTCTCTTTAGAGGCTCCTTGGAGCGAGCCAGACCGAGGCTGCCCCTCCCTCTCGCCCCTATTGGATGTGAAGCCATGTGGGGCCGTGGCCTTTCCCTGAGGCCACGCGTGGGAGCGTGCGCTGTACCTCTTCTCTTCCGGGCCATCGTGGGGCTTGATGTGCGCTCCCCACCCCAGCTCGCCGCGTACTCGTCCATCCGGCGCGCGTCCCCGTCGCACGCTGCCTCTGTCTCTTCCGAGTGCATCCGGCCCGGAGGCTCTCAGTGGCGTGGGAGTGGCGCCAGGATTCAAGCGGACAGCTGCACTTGCAGGCTAGGTCACCGCCTGCTTCGAGCCAGGTCGGCGGGAAGCTCAGTGCCTGGGAGCAGCCTTTAAGCGCGGCGGTGGAGGAGCCTGGCTGCCCGGTGGCCAGCGCTGGGTCCTTAGCTGCGCAGCAGAATGGACCTCGGCGGACAGGACCACGCCAGGGAAACCCGCAAAGCCCTGCGTTTATCCTGCGTGCCCCCTGCAGGTACCGCGTGTCGGCAGAAGGCCACGCTGTCGCGTTCACGCCACCCAAAGCCTGTTCAGGCACCCAGCTGTGTCCAGTCCGTCAGTCCGTCCCCTGCCCCCACCCCATTACAGTGGCACTAGTGATAGTTATTCTGTGCCCATCCTGGGAAGTTAAACACTCCATTTCACAGAAAGGAGGAAGCAGGTCAAAAGCTGCCAGTTAGCCTAAGGTCACACAGCTATCCTTCCCTGTTTCTACTAAATAGTAATTAAAAAAAAAAGTTAAAGGAAAAGAAAGAATATGGGGCTGGAGAAACGGCTCAGCCATTAAGAGCTGTTCTTTCATAGGCCCTGAGTTCAATTCCCAGCAACCACATGGTGACTCACAACCATGTGGTCTGGTGTCTCTTCTTCTGGCATGCATGCATATATATGCATGCAGAACACTTTATATATAGTAAAAAATCTTTAGAAAGAACAATTCTAACGGCAAAGTTAATATTCAAAAATTATGCTTCGGTAGTTGTCATGTATGAGTGTATGGATGCACATGCTATGTTTGAATTTTTCAGCATTTGGAAACTCCAGTCTATTTTGTTGCATTTTTCACTGATGATTGCCATCAGTTTCCGTTACAGTATGTGAGGAGCTCCTCTGGTTTTGCATATTGCTCTGTTTGGCTTAGAGCAGAGCATATGGTGGAGTAGGTGTCAGGAATTGTTAAATGAGAGAATGAATATGTGTGATGGTCTCAGAAAACTTGAATGATTGATCTCCAGTAAAAGACAATAGTAAAGATGAAATTTCTCCTGCGTGACAACATAATTACTAGCTTTATGTTTTTCCACAATACTGGCTAATGTACAATGTAAACTTACATGCTCCCCACGTTGCTTTTGGTTTTTCAAGAAAGGGTTTCTCTGTAGCTTTGGAGCCTGCCCTGGAACTTGCTGTGTAGACAAGGCTGTCCTGGAACTCAGAGAGATCCCCCTGCCTCTGCTGCCTGAGGGCTAGGATTAAAGGTGAGCGCCACCACCCTCTGTCCCTCACATTGCTGTTAAAAAACCTTCTGTACATAGGATGTAGACAAGTAAATGTCCTCACGTATCTGGCAGTCTTCTCCCTAGTGCTACTCTCTAGTGGTCTAAGGAGTGAGTTCCAGGATAGCCAGGGATACATAGAGAAGCCCTGCCTAAAAAATAGACAAATGAATAAATAAATAAATAAATTAATTAATTAAAAAACAGAAGGAAATCGAGGAAGGTGAACTGAGGGAAGCATTGCCCTCACACTTAAAATAGTCAAGCAATTTGCTACCAAGTATTTGAAGTGATTTAATAATAACCAAATGATGGTTAAGTATTGGAATTGAGTGTCCTTGAAGAGCTGAAAAGCTCGTTTCCTGTACTAAACTTTTGGGTAAGATCTGTGTTGTGATCATTATTTCAATAAATACTCATTAAGTTCTGGTGTGTGCAGTGCGCTTCAAGCCTGAAATGGAAACTCTTAACGCCAAACTGGGAAAGAGCACATTGCTTAACAGCTGCTACACAAATTCCGTTCCTAGCGTGCATTTCAGGATTCTAGCTCCAGTGGATCACACATTCTCTTGTGGCCTTTGAGGGCAATGGCACATGCGTGGCATATACATAAATCAAAATAAAAAATGAATGTAAACAGAAAACACCGAAGTCCTTGACCTTCCCAAAGGGATGGTTTAGTAAGACGTTTCCAGTCAATTTTGAACAATTTAAGAATTAGTGCAACCAGGGATGGCTTAGTGAATAAAAGCCTTGCCATGAAAGCCTGGCGGTTTCAGTTCAATCCATGAAATCCCTGCACACATGGAAGGTGAGAATGAACTCTAAAACCTTGTTCTCTGGGGGATGGAGAGATGGCTCAGAGGTTAAGAGCACTAACTGTTTTTCCAGAGGTCCTGAGTTCAATTCCCAGCAACCACATGGTGGCTCAAAAACATCTATGATGAGATCTGGTGCCCTCTTCTGGTGGACAGGTGTACATGCAAGCAGAAGTCTTAAAAAAAATCTTACCATCATATATGCACTGTGCATGCCCCAGCACACCTGCAATAGTAATGATAATAAGTAAAAACTAATGCAATCATTTGTATAAGAGATTGTGAGGGACATCACAATAATCTTAGCCATAGAAACAAGGTAGGAAATAGATTTACATATGGTTAAGAACTTGTTAGCTTCAAGTTAAGTGCCTTGTCTCTGGGCTCCATTTCCAGCCTGTAATATTAGTTCTGTGTTTTTAAATATATGTGCTCAGGTATGCACATGCATATGGAAGCCTTAGGTGTTATCCTCATGAACACATCCATTTCCTTTTAGAAGGGTCTCTTGTTTGTCCTGAGCTCACTCATTTGTCTAGTTTGGCTGAGATATGGTCCTAGGGATCCTTGTGTTTCCACCTCCCGGAGCCGAAATTATGAGCCTGTGTCACAGCTAGCATCGTTTCTTTATGGGGTTCTGAGGCTCAAACTTGGGTCTTGGGCTTGCAAAACAGATGCTAGACCTATCCAACTATCTCTACAGCTTTGTTATTAGGTTCTTAAGATCATTAGATCAATGTAATCCCACACACACAAAATTAGTATTTTGTTTGTTTGTTTTTGTATTTTTTGGCTCTTTGGGATGGAGTTTCTCTGTGTAACAACTCTGGCTGTCCTGGAACTTACTCTATAGAGCAGGCTGGCCTGGAACTCAGAGATCCGCCTGCCTCTGCCTCCCAAGTGCTGAGATTAAAGGTATGCACCACCACTGCCCAGCTCTAAAATGTATTTTTAGCCTTATGTGTTAGTTTTCACCACAGTACCAAGAGACTTTAGATCAGTGACTCTCATCCTGTGGGTCTCGACCCCTTTGGCAAATCTCTTTCTCTAAAAATATTTACATTACAATTCATAACAGTAGTAAAATTACAGTTATGAAGCAGCTTATTTTGGTTCATGATTTGATTTGGAGACTCGAGCCCATCACTTTGGGCCTATGGCAAGGTCGGATGCTACATTGGAAATACTTAACAGAACAAAACCAAACTCACCTCATGGCCAGGAAATGAAAGGGAAGAGAAAGAAACCAGAGTACCCGAGTCTCCTTCAAGAGTGCACCTCTGCTGACCTAAAGACCTGGTGGGTTGTTTCTTAGATGCTGGTTGATTGGTGTTATGGTCAACTTGATAGGACTGAGGATGACTCAAGAGCCATGCCTTTGGGTGTATTTGTGAGGATGTTTCCAGAGAAGTTGAACAAGGAAAGGAGAGCACCCTGAATGCAGATGGCATCATCTCATGGCGGAGGAGGGTGGGGTGGGGAGGCGGAATAGAACTGGAGAAGTGAGCTGAGCATCGGCGTTCATTCCTGACTGTGGAAGCAATGGGACCAGTTGCTTCACACTCCTGCTGCCACAACCTGAGCCATCTTTGCCATCACTCTTTCTCCTAAATGGTGGATTACACCCCCCAAATATAAGCCAAAGCCAGGCAGTGGTGACCCATGCCTTTAATCCCAGCTCTCAGGAGGCAGAGGCAGGCAGGTCTCTGTGAGTTCGAAGACACTTAAGATCCAAACCATTGTACCCTGCTTTAAAAATGAGGAAAGAGATACATAGACATCTGAGTTAACTGACATTTCCAAATGATTGTGACCGCAGACTCATAATCACGCCAGTCAAGCATGCTGAGGAAATGGTAGGATTCGATGATGAACTGTGGGAGCAGAAAGGAGGCAGAGTGGATCCTAGTGGTGAAGAGAATGCGGCCCCAGTGACTCATGGGAATAGGAGATAAAGGACAAGAGAAGGACACAATTTTGCTTTTGTTAAATTTTAAAAAATCATTTATTTGGATGTGTATGGGTATTTGAATGTTTTTATGTCTGTGTGCCCTGTGTGCAGTGCCAGCAGAGGCCAGAAGAGGGAGTCAGATTCTCCTGGGACTGGAGTTACAGGTGGTCGTGAGCCACCATGTGGGTGCTGGAAATTGAATCTAGGTCCTCTGGAAGGGTAGCCAGTGCTTTTAACTGCTGAGCTACCCTTCCAATTCCTTTCTCCCTTCCCTTTTCCCTTCCTTCCTTCCTTCCTTCCTCCCTTCCTTCCTTCCTTCCTTCCTTCCTTCCTTCCTTCCTTCCTTCCTTCCTTTCTTTCTTTTTTGTTTTTGAGACAGGGTTTCTCTGTATTTCTTTGGAGGTTGTCCTGGAACTCATTCTGTAGACCAGGCTGGCCTCTAAGTCACAGATACCTGCCTGCCTCTGCCTCCCGAGTGCTGGAACTAAAGACATGTGCCACTGATGCCCAGCGCTTTCCAGGTCCTTTTAATGAACATTTAGCTACCTTTGTCCAAGTGACCATCAGAACTGTAAAACTGAACTTCAAGAGGCAAGTTGGGACCATAGAAAGGTCAGTAGACAAATGCTGATTAGGGTCTCTGGCTAAGGGCTAATATAATAGCAGTGGCCTGGGATTAGTGCGACAGTGTGTGCAGACATCTTACAATAGCCGTCCTTAGCCGGGTGGTGGCGCATGCTTTTAGTCCCAGCACTCAGGAGGCAGAGGCAGGCAGAGAAAGCCTGTCTCAAAAAACCAAAAACAACAACAACAACACACTAGCCAGCCTTGGAAACACATAGCACTTATAATATAAGATGGTTATGTAATAAAAGATAAGTGTCACTATTGCAGCTTTCAGTAAAAGCATAGGAAAATATGTATACCAAAATAAGTATGATTAGCACAATTCATTTATTTCAAAGCAGAAAAGTAATCCTAAAAATTCAAGACTCCTATCTTGTCAGTGTAGTGATCCCCTCCACCTCTGGTCTGAACTACCCCTCAACTGCTAGGTTTCACAGCAAAGCAGACACCTGGCAATCCTATGAAAATTAAAAACAAATAAAAAGCAATTGAACTCAAGGAGAAACTGTAT